TGGACTTGAATATAGAAAAGTTCCAAAAGAAGTATGCACTAGATGAAATTCTTTATTTGAAATGCTTCAAGTTGCTTATATTTATCAAGAGCCGGTACAATTAGTTTTTAATGCTCATAATGCGGACCCGAATTTGAGAATTGGCTATGAAGATTGGGAAAATACAAAAGAACTTATTGAATTTTTAAGTGTTTTTTATAAAGCAACAAATGCTGCTTCTGGTCAATATTATCCAACTATTTCTTCTGTTTTAGTAAATATTTGTGCTATTTCATCTGAATTTGCAAAATATAAAGGAAAAGATCGATTTGAAAATTCCCTTGCTTTTATGATTGAAAAATTCAAAAAATATTTTTTCCCTATTCCTCAAATCTATTTGACTGCTACTACTTTCAACCCAAATTACAAATTAAAAGGTGTTGAAAGAATGGTTGAAAAGATTTATGCAAATTTAGAAATTAGAGATGATGAAACTCCTAGTGTTGAAGATTGTAAAAGTAACATATATATAAAAGCTAGAGAGTTATATAATACATATAAATCTATGGAAAAAAAATATTCCAATAGTTGAACCTCCATCTTGTAAACCTAGAAGCGATGATACGGATGATTGGATGGATGATTATCTTGAGCTTGAATCATCTACTAATAATGATTTTGATTTATATTTCAATCAGGCACGGGAAAAGATTAGGCATGAAGAAGGACAACTTCAAGCTCCAATATTAGTATGGTGGAAGAATCGTGAAAATCAATTTCCGACCCTCGCTAGGATTGATCGAGATGTGCTAGCGATTCAAGCATCATCGGTCGCTTCGGAGCAAGCCTTTAGTGCGGCGAGTTTTATGATTGGAGATCATCGATATTCATTAGCAAATGATAGTTTGGAAATATCGGTGTTGTTTTGAGATTGGGTCAATGCCGAAAGAAGAAATACCGGACTACCACAATTAAATAGCCAAATAGAAGACGAAAGAGATGAAATATTTGGTGATAATAGTGATGATGGTATGGAAGCAATGGAAGAAGAACGACAAATACAAGTTCCAAAAAATGTTTCTTTTGAAATGATACAAAAGTTACGAAAAGATTTTAAAAAGAGTTTCAATTGTTAGTACAATAATTAATATTCAATACCTAGATTATGTACTCTTTGTCTCTTTCTAATATTTGTATTGTACAATTTATTTATTTGAATAAATATACGGCTATTCGCCTTGATTTTCTTTTAAAATAGTCTCTTATATTTAATCCAAGTCATTTTAGAAATTTAATTTTCAACTATTTTAATATTAGTTTAAAGTTTAAACTTTAATATAAAATTGAATTTTAAGATTTAAACTTTAAATTCAATATAAACTTTAAACTTTAAACTTTAAAGTCAATTTTAAACTTTAAATTCAATATAAAGTTATAAACTTTAAAATTTAAAGTCAATTTTAAACTTTAAAGTTTAAAGTTTAAACTTAAATTCAATTGAAACTTTAAAGTAACTTTAAAGTTTAAAGTTTTAAATTGAAGTTTTTTAATAATATAATTTTATTAATTAATAATATAATATTATATAATAATTAAAGTTAATAAAAAATAAAAAAAAATTACCGATATAAAATGATCCGGTAAGAACCGGTTCCGGTCCGGTCCAAACCGGTTCCAATCCGGTAACTAAGGGACCGGACGGAACCTTTGGAAATTTCCGGTAAAACTGGTTCCGGTAAGACCCGGTTCCGATAACGAAATCCGGTAACGAGGACCGGTTCCGATAAAACCGATCCTGTTGATCCGGTCCTGTCCGTTTGCTAGCCTCTACTCATTTTAATAAGGTGTACCTCAAGATAAGACATTTAAATGAAATTTTTTTGAAGAAAAAAAAAACTCAGCATATATTCTTCCAATTATAAAAGTTCACGCCAGCTTGCCAACTCGTAGTCTTCTTTTTTGGCCCCAAATCTAGATATCTTCTAGACGAACATGAAACATTAGAAGCGTGACACGGTTACATTTTTTTTTAAAAATAAAATAAAATTATCCTTTAAACTTGATTAATTTAAATTCGCGGTGAGAAGTCCATTTTAAATAATAAATGCAAAGTTTTAATTGAAAATGAATGAATATTTATCCATTTAACGCATTGAGGATTTACTTTTTGTTCTATGCTCACAAAATAAAAATGCATCGCTAGGATCTAAAATTGCATCATAATATTATAAACAAAACAAAGAATATACAAGTAAGTAGCCATGAGTAAATCAGCTAAACTATCGTTTAAGACGCTCACTGAATTTTTTACTCCTTCGTATTTTAATTTATTTATTTAATTTTGATTTGATATTGTGTTTAAAAAAGTAAAATCAACTTTGAATTTTGTGATTTTAAATTAAAAATATATTAAAATATTCGTTAATTTTATAATCTTAAATATGTCAAGAAAAAGGTTAATTACAATGAACTAAAAAACAAAATAAAACAAGTAATTTCAGACCGAGTATTTAACATTCAAATTTATTACTATATTGAATGAGATCAAAACAGTAGATTTTCAACCAATAGTTTATATATCATAAAAATAAAAAAAAGTAAAAAAGAAGAAACCATAGTAGAAGTTAGATATTATTATTATTATTTAACATAAATACGTAAAGGTCCAAAATTCTGTTATTGTGGATGTGCATGTGATGATGACCACACACGATCAACACTACCGACCCACCGACTCAGAATCTTAAAACAAACTGCGTAACTCTTCAGCTATTCCATATTTATGTGCTCTTATTCCTGCCCCTACTTTAAACTTATCAACTATCTCTACTACGTAAGTTTGACGCGGAATTTGAGAATGATAGAATATACAAAAATATTCGTATATTTATTTTTGTAAGATATAAAATTTATTTTCGATATATAGCCGATTTAAAACACATGGAATTAAGTATGATAGAAAAAAACAAAACACATAACAAAACAACAAAATAAACATAACAAATGAAATAACAAATAGTACTATGCATATAATTAGCATATGCCAACTAATATTACAATGCGCATGAGCTATCCTATTATCATTTTCCCTTTACCTTCGATTTTTAAAAATTTTCTTATATAAGATCATTTTTCTAATAAGCTAAAGATATTTTTCTAGGGTCAACCTCTTCATACCTTTTTAAAAATCTATTATATTCAATCTCTCACATCTTCTTATCAGTGCATTGATACTTCTTTTATTCACATGTACTATTTGTTTTAATATCAATTTCATCATCTTAATTATTTGCCACGAAGAACCACTTCAACTTTATCTTATATAATCTCATTCTTAATCTTATATTTCTGATAATATGTTCACATATTCTTCAAACAAGAATACCCATCTCTGCTATCTTTAATGAATTGATTTTCGTCATATGTATGCTTGAAAATAGATCTGTATCCAATAATCAATCAATCACCTAGGTGTTACAAAATGAGACAGAGAAAACATAAGAAAATTTAGAAAATTGATAATTATATTCACGCTTGAATACAAGAGACTACAATCCTATTTGTACACAAGAAGTCAAAAAGCAAAAGGAAATAAAATATCCAGAATGTCTAAATATATACTTTATCATAATTAAAACACGTAATATACTCTACCATATTTAGATGGTCTATACAATAATAACCAACTTTTAACACTAGGTATCATTAATTCCAAATTAATTAGAGTAGTTCTTTGAGGCTTCTTTTATTTTTTATTTTTATTTTATATATATATAACCATTTTTATGTCTACTCTGTCAATGGTTCAAACTTCAAATGGTAGAAATAATTTGTCAAAAATGTAAAGTAAGCCGGTCTAGGGAAATTACTACTACCACATTTTCCCAACCTATTACATAGTTAACACTATGCAAATTGAATTTTGTATTAACTATTTTTAAGTTGACAAAATCTAATCTTCTAGTACGTACTAATATTGATTATTTCGGTGTTGACAAAATCTAATTCTATATCCCTTTCGCATCAATTTATTTATTTGATGTTAATTTGATATAAATTTTTAAAAATAATTTTTAAGTGTTTATGTGACAAATGAAGTAGAAAGGTTCATGTAACAAACAATATACTAGTATTTGAAACTTTGCAACCATAATTTTGGTATTTGATTTTTAAAATTATTATATTATTATCTTATCAGTTTAATTCGATATGGTTCAGTGTTTTGAAATTTGGTTTCGATATCTTGTGGTATGATAAATCAGTAATTATAGTTTGTTCAACTTTGACTAATATATACTTGTATAATAGAGTATATATTATGACTTCAACAATTTTAAAAAGGTTTCAATTGTATCATACTAATACATTATACATATAAATATATATTCAAAAGAAAGTACAAACAACTCCTTTTGTTAATAAATTATATTTAACTTCTAAACATTTAATTTATACTAATACTAAATTGCATATTTGTTTAGTATTTAATAAAATATATATGTTATTTATATAACAATATACTTCAATGTGATCTTCTATATTTTGATATGTTATTTCTAAATATAAAAAATATAAAAAAGTTTAAAATATATAGCTAATACTATAATAACAAATTTTAATATAATATAATAATTCGATATATTCTATACCGCCCCTGGTCATATAGATAGGAAGGGAAGAAATATTTAAGTTTTGGCAGGAAATGTTTTCCATTAAATTAGATTTGAAACCGCTGCTTTGCGTGTGATAAAGAATAAACACCAAAACTTGTAAAATCCGTACGCACTAATTTTTCTTTCCCTCCTTCACTCTTTTCTTGAATGGTACAACTCCAACATTCAAGTGCTCATCTGTACCCTCTAAATTCTTCTTCTTCTTCTTCAATCTTCATCATCTTTGCTTGAACTGAAGCTACTATTTCCCTTTCCTTCCTCTGTACCATAAACAGAGACTACTAAACCTTTCGCAGAGGAAAAAAACACCAGAGATTTTTATTTTATTTAAAAAAAAAACTTAATCTGCTTTATGGAGTCTGACTTGTTGTCGGCGAAGAATGGGAGAGGGAGGCTGGTGAGGTTGATGGGCTGCGTGAAGAATTACGATTGGGGACCACCCGGGAAGGAATCTCGTGTAGCACGGCTGTATGCTTGCAATAGTGGTAACTATGTTGACCAAGAGAAGCCTTATGCCGAATTTTGGATGGGGACTCACGATTCTGGGCCTTCCTATGTTGTGGAAGGAACTGAGAATGGATTGGTTAATGGTAAGGGAGAGACACACAAGTTAACATTGAAGAATTGGATTCAAAACAACCCTAGTGTTCTTGGAGAGAAGGTTGTGAACAAATGGGGTACTAACCTTCCTTTTCTCTTCAAGGTAAAATTGCACTAAATTTTACTTTTTTGAGGGAGTTTGAAATGTCGGCAAAGCTAATTTCTTCTCAAATTACTTAGAGTTCTGATTTTTAATCATGCTCTTTGATAGCATTATACTCGTGCCTAAATAGCTACAGAGACAAATTATATAATTTCGGTTTCAGGTCAAACTTAGATTTCTTCTTATTTTATTTTATTTTTATAAAAAATAGAAAAAGAAATTTAGATATATTTAAAATCATTTGAAAAAAAGTTTGAGTAATGGTGTTTCGGAAATGGGCAAGAGAAATTACCTGAGTATGTAATATCATGTAATGAGACAATTGAATTTGTTTTAATTTAACTTGATGCATTTCGAGCGAGTTGAAGCTGTTTATACTTGGCTGTTGGTATGATTTTGATAAGATTCTAACATGTCTGGAGTTATAGGTACTATCTGTTGCAAAAGCTTTGTCCATACAGGCCCATCCAGACAAGGATTTAGCCTCTCGTCTGCATAGTGAGCTTCCGGATGTTTATAAGGATGACAATCACAAACCAGAGATGGCATTGGCGTTGACGGAATTTGAGGCATTATGTGGATTTATAAGTCTCGAGGTACTCAAACATCTATGTGGTTCTTAGGTCTAGTTAATTTTTTTTGAATTTTGTTAGGCTTCGTAATCCAGGACATTTGAGGCTCCCATAAATTTACAATCCCCTTAAAATAGAGTTAAGCAACTTGTTTTAGTTGATTAATGTAATAATTGGGTTGCATTCTAGAGGTAGAGGTGCTTCGGAGTGGTAGATAAATAGCCCACCTGGTGGTATGTTCGTGGACCTGTCTGATTTAAGAGCAAAGGGAGTTAATGGAGTTGTTTAGCTGGAAATTGTGTTTTTGCTTATTATATTTGCTATTTTTTCTCTTTTGAACAATAATAACGAGAGCTTATAGTGTTCTCCTCCAACAACCAGAAGGAAAAGAATATTTAATATCTGGAAAAGGAGGTTAGAAGCTACTTGAACGGTGATGAAAGGTTCCTTACTGCTTGTTCTTGTGTTTAAAAACTGGCATATTCACATCCCCTTCCAGTTTTGCCATCCATATTTTGTTAGACTGCAAGCCTAAAGGAGCTTATCCAGGACCTCAAGCTCATCATAGTGTAAACATAACAATGCATGCAGAAGAATGCTGTAAGATATTCAGGTGGTTGATTCACTTGAGAATGTGCCTCTTAGCTTGAGATGAAAAATGAACTTAGAATTCAATGACTATTTGAAAAAGGAAAAGTTGTGTTCAATGTGATTTACAATTACTTATGCAATTTTTGTAGGAGCTTAAGTTGATTGTTCAAACTGTGCCCGAGATTGTCGAATTGGTCGGTACTGCACGCACAGAGCAGGTATTGGAATTGAATGAGGATGATGGGAAGGAAAAAGGTAAATTAGTGCTACAATCAGTATTTACTGAGCTGATGTCAGCCAACAAGGATGTGGTTGCTGAAGTGATAGCTAAGCTTATTAGTCGCCTACACGTTAAAAATCAGGTATAGTCAATGTAGTCCTTGATCAGATAGAAGTTACAATGTGTTTGTTTTATCCAAGTACTAGCTGTAAGTTTCCTTCTTGTACTAAAGCATGGTGGACATTTATTCATGTGGAGTAATTCTTTGTGTTTTTGGAGAACTATGCTCTTCATTGTCTTGGTAAACATTTTTCATCTAAAAGCTCCCTTCTCCTACCCATCTCTAAACACATGGACTACTTGCATAAAGAGTTTGGTTCTGGAAGAAGTGAGGTTTGAGAGTATCATTTTATCTTAACAGTTCAAGCTCCATCTTAAGCAGATTTGTTGTTCATCCCCAACTTATTGTGTTGTGCCTATTTTCTCTCAAAAGGACACTTCTCCTTTCAATTGATGGTTTGAGGAAATTGGATGCCAAATTAAAATGTTGATTCACAATTCAGCAACATGAGCATCTCATATAATCAAGAACCTAAATGATGGATAAATCTAATTCCTATTGAGTGAATGGGGATTAAGCACTAAAAAGAAGGAAAAGATAAACAGGAGTAGAAAAAAATTAAAGCTGAGACTTGGTCTGTGGTGAAGATTAAGAGTGTTCCTTATATCTTTGTGAAGAAGACATGATCAAGGAAAGAAAAGAGTGGATTTGGCAAAAAGTAGAGTATAGAAACAGCTTAAAATAATACTAATAAAAAAGAAAGATTGAGAAACAACAGAAAAACAAGAACAGAAATATTTTCAGAAGAGTTGAGTTAGAATCGACTCTGATGAATTGACCTTTATGAGCTGGCTTTAGTCATCGTTCCAATCTTTGTTATGTTCTTTTTATCAGTTTTGTAATAGATTTGGATGGATGGGATACTGGTGGTGGTACAAAGATCACATTACTTTGAAGATGTGAATTATGTATTTTAATACAATATCTGATCTACTTCATCAAAAAAATAAATATCTGAGCTATTTTTGCCCTCTTTAATGCCCTTCAAGAAAACAAAGAGAATCACTCCTTTATTCCCACATTAACTGTAAAAAGGGCTTGCTGAAATTTGAATTTAGGTAACCAATAAACTACATCTAATCGTATTCTTGTTCAATTACCACTGAGAAGATAATTTGTTTGGTTTAATGGTGTCTTAATTGCTTATTATATTATTCCTACTTGATGATTTAGTTTTCCTTTGATTTCTTCTTTACTATGTATGAAATGAAATGTCTAGAGACCGATGGCGCATTCAGGAAAGTGAAATGTGATGGGGCTGAACTTCACTTAAACCAATCTTGGTCATTGTCATTTATTTATGATATTTCATCCTTAATGTTGTAGGCAAGGGAGCTGACAGAGAAAGAACAAGTGGTGCTTAGACTTGAGAAGCAGTATCCAGCTGATATTGGTGTCTTGGCTGCATTCATGTTAAATTATGTGAAACTCAATCCTGGTGAAGCCTTATATTTAGGAGCAAATGAACCTCATGCTTATTTATATGGTGATTGTATTGAATGCATGGCAACATCAGACAACGTGGTACGTGCTGGCCTAACTCCAAAGCACAGAGATGTTAAAACTCTATGCTCAATGCTCACTTACAGACAGGTACTGTTATAGACACCACTAGGATTATTCTTAAAAGAAAAATGATCAAATTTGTCCTTGTACTATTTTAAATTGAGCAAGTTTGCCCTCCATTTGACTTTTGGTCTAACATTATCCATGCCGTCAGGAAAAAGTTCTCTTTTAACCTTGACACCTAATGAAGCTTTTTTTAAAATCCATAATCAAAAGTCCAAGGGTAAAATTGGACCTTTTTTCTCAAAAATATTTGGACATGTCTCCACATTGATTTTACACCTGGAGCTCCCTAATGGCAACTGGCAAAGGCAAATATGAGACGATTTGTTAATGACAAGGGTATGAATGGACCAAAAGTGAAAAGGAAGGCATATTGAACTATTTCGAATAGTACAAAGACGAATGTGAACCTTTTCCCTTTTTCAAAATTAAAATCATGATTGGAATCTGATTATAACAGCAACCTTGGTATGTGCTTCAAGTTGAATAGACTGTGAAAGAGTTGCATTATTCTGACATCAAGTTATTGACAAAAAAATGTTAGGACATTTAGGATTATGATTGTTAAATTGAGCTTCTTTCAAGGGTCAAATTTCCATCAAGAATATTTTAAGTTGTTTAAGTTACTTGTCTGTTTAATTGATGTGTACATTCCTAAACTAGTAATGCTCCTGGAACTTGGTCAACAATCATCAGAATGTAACCTGGTCCGAACTACCACCGTAAAAAAAGGAGAAAATGCATGAGAACATCTTCTATAACCCATTAGTAGTTTTGTTGGGCTGTGCAGGCAGAGGCTAATATTTGGCAAGATTTCCTTTAAGTGCACTTAACATGATATCGGGTCTCTGTTTATATCTAAATTACATCTGTTCTTGTTGCAGGGTTTTCCTGAAATTCTGCTGGGCACTGCAGTAAATCCTCATGTTATGAGGTACATTCCTCCTTTTGATGAATTTGAAGTTGATCGCTGTATTCTTCCCGAACAATCAACTGCTGAATTTCCTGCTATTCACGGTCCATCCATTTTTATGGTCGTGGAGGGAGAGGGAACATTAACCTCATCATTAAAGGAGATTATCCATGAAGGTGATGTCCTTTTTGCACCTGCAAACACCAACATTACTGTTTCGACATCTTCTGGTTTGCAATTATATAGAACAGGAATAAACAGCAGGTTTTTCGAGGAGTGAGTTGTGTACGTATGCTAGTACATAAAATTGTTCATCAAGTTTCCTTTATACGAAAGTCGGCTGATCCAACCTTGTAATATTAGCGTGTGCATGTCCATGTCCATGTCCATGTCCATGCCATTTCTGTAAATCAGGTATACAAAATAAATATGACTACTGATATAGTTGCCTCATTGTACCAGTCTAGTGATTCACAATCTAAATGGAATAGGGTGTATTATGTATATGTGGAAAAAACTTCAAACAATTAGTAGGAGGGGGTATAGGGTTTAGGATTTAAGGTTTATGTTTCAGGTTTTGTAAGATACTTGCAAATACTTTTAATTGTGCTTTTAATCCAAAACAAAAACAGCACAGGTATAATTCCTAACAAAAGAAAAGAAGAGGGATAACTGATTGGAGCAGATAACTACATGGTACTCCCTCCGTCCCTTTTTAGTTGTCCACTTTAGAAATGACATACAGATTAAGGCAACAATGATTAGCACAGTGAAGTTACAATTTTACCCTTATGACAACTTTTCACTTCAAAATTACAATCACTTATTTGAATTAAAGTGAAATAAATTGGAGGGAAACAACATACACTTTTACAATTTTCAAGAAGTGTAAATAAGGGTATAATAGGAAAAAATTTGTTGTCCTTTCTTGATTTGTCAAAATGGACAACTAAATAGGGACAACTAAAAAAGGAAATATGGACAAGTAAATAGGGACGGAGGGAGTATCATTTTAATCTTTTGTGCTGTCAACTATTGTCAATTTTTTTGCAATGGTTGTATTTGTTTGAACTTTTCAGAATCTGTCAGCTTGAATATAGTTAATTCAATCTAAATCAGAGTCATAGTCAAGAAGTAGTTAACGGGTCAAATCTTGATTTTCCAATCCGTTTACCTCTTTTTTTCCATGATATAGACGTGTGGCGTAATTTTCTTTTTAATTTGTTCTAAATTAACACGAATGTTAATTTTCAAAAATTACGACACAAATTGTGAAATTCTTTTTTTCTTTTAGATGCCATGTGCCCGTGTCAAGTCATTTTATTCACCAATTTTAAAAAATTGAAACAGCCAGGTGATTATCTATTTGTGTGTGAAATATGCAGATTATATTCACCATTTTAAAAAAAATAAAAATAAAACAAGTTTTCGACGCGCCAATATTCCAACTGGACAAAACATGCACAAAAGTTTCTGAAGCTTAATATATGTATCCATAAAACTTTATTTAACCTTCGCTTGTCTCTTTACTTTTGCAATTTGTTGGTAAATACGACATACATTAATATTGATATGCCTTTCTACTAAAATAAAATATAGTGGACAGGGCAAATAAACACTATCAAAGCTTAAGTTTACAATAATAATCCTGCTTTAAAGACTGAAAATTCTAGTAATCTACTAGTATTTAGCACTCCAAATGTCTAGTTCTGCGCGTGTAGGGAAGTCATGAATAATTTTAACTTCATAAACTAGCTTTTGTGGTCAAGTAAGTCCAATAGTGAATTAGTATTCTTCCATTTAAGAAAAGTAAACAGAATTAAATTCTTCCAACCACCACTAGCCTAGTATGTTACAGATTGATCAAAACAATTTCTACTACTAAACACTCTTTGTGAGAGTAAGAATCCCAAATCACTAATCATGAACATTCTGATTGAGTTTCTTTCACTTTTGTTCTTCTTTTATTCACTTTGTTTAGCTAAACATACCAACTTCATCAGTGACTATGCTGCTTTGATGGCATTTAAATCGAGCCTTCGATTGGAACCTCACCACATTTTGTCCAGAAATTGGAGCTCAGACACACACTTCTGCAGCTGGTACGGAGTTTCATGCGTGCACCAGAGAGTTGTAGCTTTGCAACTTCCTAATTTGTCCATTCAAGGCAAAGTTTCTTCAGAAATTGCCAACTTGACTCAACTTGCTCTTCTTGACCTTAGTAACAATGATTTGAATGGCAATTTACCAAGTGAGTTGGGCTTCTTGCAGCAACTGAGACTTTTTAATGTGACTGGGAATTCTCTTGATGGAACTATTCCTCTGAATATAAGCCGTTGTCATGTACTGCAAGAACTTCATTTATCAGATAACATGATCAAAGGAAGCATACCTCAAGAACTTGGTCGTTTAAGTCAACTTAGAATTTTGCGTCTCAACGACAATAATCTGACAGGAAAGATTCCACCTTTATTAGGAAACTTATCAAAGCTGGAATATTTTTATCTGCATGAAAATGATTTGGAAGGTGAAATACCTGATGAAATTGGTGATCTTACCAATTTGAGGCTCCTTTCCTTTCGTGGCAATGACTTCACTGGATCGATACCTGCTTCAATTTTCAATATTTCAAGATTACAAATTGTGGATCTCTCGATAAATGCCTTATCAGGGGAACTTCCAAGTGATTTGGGTAATTATCTTCCTATCCTTGAACATCTTTTTCTGGACAGCAACAGGATCACGGGGAAAATCCCGGTTTCTTTATCAAATGCATCAAAGATTACTCATCTCTTCTTCACTGTAAATGATGTGCAAGGAAATATTCCAAATGAGTTTGGTAAGTTGCATGAACTAGTCTGGTTTGAATTTGAATATAATCGAATTTCTGGTACCATTCCATCCAGCTTATTCAATATTTCGTCTCTTGAAATCCTCAAAGCCAGGCATAATTACTTAAATGGGCATCTTCCGTATGATCTTGGTACTTGGCTACCTAACTTGCAGGAGATTTTCCTTTCACACAACCAATTCAGTGGAGATCTACCCGCTGCAATATGCAATGCTTCAAAGCTTGAAAATCTTGAAGTTGCAAACAATAGTTTTACCGGACCGATTCCCATGATGTTAGGTAACCTGGTGGACCTTATAGCTCTAAATCTGCAAAATAATCTGTTGGAAAACAATCCTGGAGCCACACAACTTGACTTCTTGAATTCATTGGTAACCAGCAGGAATCTGGTGTACCTGATTCTTGCATCTAATCCTTTGAATGGAATTTTTACGGAATCAATAGGAAATTTATCAAGCAATATCAGGGTCCTTGATGCATTGGACTGTGGAATTAGAGGCAGTATGCCAACAAACATTGGAAACTTAAGTGGCTTGATTTTCCTGGGATTAGCAAGTAATAACATTGTCGGTAATGTGCCCCCCTCGTTTGTTGGCCTGCAAAACCTGGAAAGGCTGTATCTTAGTAGAAATAAATTAGAAGGGACATTTCCAGCTGAACTGTGCAGCATAGGAAGATTAGGTCTACTGCATTTGGGAGAAAACAGACTGTCAGGAGAAGTACCCTCGTGTATCGGAAATCTGACTGAATTAAGAGTAATGTCAATTGCTGCCAACAATTTCAGCTCAAAGTTACCTTCAAGTTTCTGGAGATTAGTAAAGCTTGATAGTCTGAACTAATCGAGAAACCTGCTGCATGGTTTCTTCCCTTCTGATGTGGGAACTCTGAAAGCAATGAGGATCATGGACCTCTCTTTCAATAGGTTTTTTGGTGAAATACCCAATTCCATAGGGTCTCTTCAATATCTAGTTTCACTAGATATGTCAAGAAATGCATTACAAGGTCCCATACCAGACACATTTAGCAATCTAATAGTTCTTGAGGCTCTGGATTTGTCTACTAATGCTCTATCAGGTGTGATTCCCAAATCTCTTGAGCTATTGCGAGATCTCAAGTATCTCAATGTTTCTTTCAACAACTTGCAAGGAGAAGTTCCAAAGAAAGGGGTATTTGCAAATGTTAATTACCGGTTCTTGATGGGAAATCCAAGACTTTGTGGAGCACCTGACTTATATATTCCTATATGTCCAGCTCAAGGTAGAAAGACAACAAGGAAAAAGTCCATTATTCTTAGAACAGCAGTACCTGTTGCTGTAACATTTCTGATATTGGTCGCGTTGTTTTTCACATGGATGATTTGGTCAAGAAAAAAACATGTGATTGGAAACAATGAATCGGATTACCCTCCTAGAATTGCACATCAGAAAATCACTTATTATGAGCTTCTCCAAGCTACAGAAAATTTCAGTCAGTCCAAGCTAATAGGAATTGGAAGTTCCGGTACAGTCTACCAAGGTACATTTTCTGGTGGTGCTGTCTTTGCAATCAAAGTTTTTGATATGCAATGGCAACGGGGTTTAAGAAATTTTGATTTAGAATGTGAAATTTTGAGCAATGTAAGACACAGAAACTTGGTCAAGATAGTGTCGACTTGTTCAAATTTGGATTTCACAGCAATTGTGCTGGAGTACATGCCTAATGGAAGCTTAGACAAAAGATTATACTCTGATGAAAATTGCTTGAGCCTGGTTGAAAGACTCAATATAATGATCGATGTAGCACTAGCCATGGAGTATCTTCATCATGATTATACAGTGCCCATTGTGCACTGTGATCTGAAGCCAGGTAACGTGCTTCTTGATCAGGATCTGACTGCTCATGTTGCAGATTTTGGAATCGCAAAAATGTTGGCACAAGAAGGAAACATGGCTCAAACCAAGACTCTCGGAACTATTGGTTACATTGCTCCAGGTATGATAATGTCTTGAAATGACGGTGTCCTATGCTGGTTACTTTTTTCCTTTATGTCTACCATAACTTTATACTGTAGCATGGATAACTACACATTTTAACTGGGAATTTGTTGAAACAGAATATGGTTTAGACGGGCAAATTTCCACTAGCAGTGATGTTTATAGCTTTGGGATTTTGTTGCTTGAGACATTCACAAGAAAGAAGCCTACAGATGACTTGTTTAGTGGAGACTTAAGCTTGCATAAATGGACATCTCTCTCCTTTCCTGATGCTGTACTGGACATTCTGGATGCTGACCTTGCTAGCGACATTGGCTTTACAATTGATGAAAACCAAAGCCAAATCAAACAATTGCTGGTTTTGATAATAAATGTTGCATTCCTGTGTTTGAAAGAGTTGCCAGAGGAAAGGATAAACATGAGAGAGGTTGTGGTGCAGCTAAACAAGATAAGAGCTGAATTAACCAAGCTTTTAACTCAATCCCATTCAAAATTTGAGAAAGAGGATTGATGCAGCAACAACCAAATTCAGTTTTCCACCTTCTATGGCCTGTCAAAACATCTGTTATTTCTTAACATTTTCTTTCGAATATATATTTCTACTAGTTTCTGGCCACGTGCCACACACGTGTATCTGAATTTAATTGGTGATATTTTTTCATAACAATATTATCTCTAATAAGTGTTATGTCCGGTGTAAATTAGTATATATATATAGATAAAGATAATATTAAAATATATGTATAATAATAAATATAAAATTTTATGTGAAAAGACTTACATGCTCAATTTAAAGAATAGTAAAAAAAAAATGAGTTGATTATTTGATGTCATCTAAACTTGAAAAGTGTATCCATATAATTTATTAGTTAGATATGCATGGTATAAAATGAGCTCATTAGTTATATTATTAGGTGTAAATATGTGATATAATTATATTGTACGTAGTACTTTCTTATAGATGTTATTTTTAAGTGTATATGTTCCACTTCGATGTTTCAATTTCTTTATCATGATCAAATTTTTTATTGTAGATATTGATATCTCTCTAGTTGTTGGTGTTTTTTATATCAACTTATTATGTTATTGATTTGTGACACGATTTTTTTACATTAATATCATTTTTTACTTTAAGCATTTCCAAAAATGACCTAAAGAAAGAAGAATTTATCGCTAAATTATTAATATATAATAACGTATAAGTGGTATGCCCATTATAGCAAGTTTTTTTTTTTCTTGATTTTCCATCCGGTGTCCGGAGCCCACATTGGAGCTCCGATTAAATCCAGATCGTGCTCTGCAGGGCCCATTCGGGGGTGGCGCTCCAAACAAGATTTTCTCCATACCCAGGGCTCGAGCCCGAGACCTCTGATTAATTATAAATTGTATCTAATAATAATTGAAGATGAAGATCAAAGTCTAAGCCTATAACATCTGTCATAACAAAGATAGAGAAGATTTCTTTCTTTACAAAGAGAGGTTGTTTGGATACCTAACATCCTGTCAATTAAAACTATATATGGAGAACAAAAAATTGATAAATTGATATTTTTATTTGAATTTCATTTGCACTTTTTCTTAAGCAAATATGTACTCTTTCAGTTTAAAGACAATTAAAAAGTCATTTAATCTAAAAACTTCTACTCCAAATTGCAATATGCAAGTAGAGAATAAATTAAATTAAATTTCTAGCAGAATAAAATAATTAACAAAGTATTAAAGAAATTACTCTCTGACAATATGCATGGAAGTATATACATTTAAAATAATTAATCTTCGTGTTTATAACATTCAGTGAAACTGTATTGTACATTACTAAATCTTTCATTGGGACAATTAGTTCCGACTTAAAAGATAATTATTTCTTAATATTAAATAACATATATACCATCTCAAACATATCAAGAATGAGATTTAAACCACATATAATTACATATAAATCATAGATATACCTGAAAAAAGGAGAATTTCTGACCGATAGAACACATAGAATAATAGGACACATACAACTTCTTATAAGTTTTTATAAAGTATTGCAATGTATAGAATAAGAAATGATTTTAAGAGAAAATTATTAATGGGGAAGATGAAAGAATAATGCGGAAGACGAAAGGTAGAATCAATCTTAATAACTAAACAAATCGTGAATGGCTATGTTCTGACTTAATCATAACTAAGTGTGAAGCATTAAACTACTGTGGGAATGAGTATTAACAAAAGAGGCTCAAAGGATAACAATTAAAGCCTCATAAAGAAATGATAAGCTCTAACACCTAACCATGTATTTGGTCTAATTAACTTTTTATTAATTATTTAATTAAAAAAAATCATAAAAGGGTACTTTTGTAATTCAACTTTGAGGTTAGGAGCTTCCCACTTTTAGTAATACTAGTTATGGACACGTGCGTTGCACGCAGGGGCGAATCTATGAAGGGCCTTGGGGGTGCCACGCCACCCCCGAACTTCGACGGAAACTCTATATATACATAGGTATATATACATAATATTTATATAAATATAAAGCGTGCCACCCACAAAACAAAATTGGCTTGTGGTGCCATGGTAGGAGGGCAACTTTAGAAGGTTGAGGTTGCGGGTTCGAATCCCATTTGAACCTATTTTTTTGAAAAAATGTTGCTGACGTTTTTAAGTAAAAAAAAGGCCCCAAGCCCCTTTTTTTTTAAGGAAAACAGCTGCACATTATTTTTATTTTTTTATAATTGTTATTGACATTTTTAAGTTAAAAAAAAAGGCCCCAAGCCCCTTTTTTTAAGGAAAACAGCTGCACATTATTTTTATTTTTTTATAATTGTTATTGACTTAAATTAAATTAATTACATTACTCCTTTGACTTAAAAGTATTCTCTTTCTCTTCAACTATTTCCAAACCCTTCTTCCTCCAAGTTTCAACTTTTCCAAAAATTTCATTACCCCATTCCGAATCCAAATCACTTCTTGTCGTTGCCGTCCCCCGCCCGTCTTAGCATTCCGTTCAGCGGCTAAGCCTCATTTGGGTGTTATTGTTTTCACTTTTCTCCATCCATCCACAACTTTTTATAGATTGTAAGTTTGCAATTCTATTTTTGTAAGATTTTTTTTATCTCTATTCTTGAGTTCTTTTAAGTTTTAATCAGTGATGATTGATTTCATATTAGACAAGAGTTTTGATATTACTTTGATATTCTAAATTTCTAATGAACATTGTAAGACATTATTGGTTAAAAATTGTGTGATATGAATCATGTTAATTTGAATTAACTATGCCTTACACTATTAAATTTGAATTAATTGTGAGTTGAATTGAATTTTAATTTTTGTAGGAAAGTGTTCTAGTTTTGTGAATTGAGATGGAGAAGTTTCTTGTGAAATTTAACCATTCTCAAACAAGTTCTAGTACAAATGTCAATCCTTCTAGTCTTATAGATGGCCTTAATTTAGATTCACTTGAAGCCGATCCAGGAAAAAGGGTACCAATTGCTCACTATAACCCTCAAATAAAGGATGAAGTGAGGAAACATTATATTCAAAAAGGGCCTTGTCAACCAAAAATGGATTCATATCCTCCAACTGAAATTGGAAAAAGAATGCGTCAATTTTGTAAAATTTGGTTTGAAGGTCCATATTCTAAATGGTTGGAGTATAGCGTGGAGAAAGATTCTGTCTATTGTCTATGTTGTTATTTATTCAAAGATGATTTTTTCCATGGAAGTACAAGTGAGTTTTACAAAAAACGGGTTTTAGGAGTTGGAATGGGGCACTTGAAAGATTCCGTAAACATGTTGGTGATGTTAATAGTATTCATGACAAATGTTTCAACAAGATGCTAGATTTGTCAAATCATCATCAATCAATTCAAGTTGTTATTGATAAGCATTCTCAAAAGTTAAAAAATGAGTATCGAATATGGATTACCTTTTCGAGGTCACGATGAAAGTGAATCTTCAATTAATCAAGGCTTCTTTCTAGGATTTTTGCGATGGCACGGGGACAAACATCCGGATGTTGGAAAAGTGATATTGGAAAATGCCCCACAAAATGATACGTTGACTTGTCCTATGATTCAAAAAGATATTGCCAATGCTTGTGCAAAAGAAACATTGAAAGCAATAATTGGGGACTTGAATGGAGATTACTTTGGTATATTAGTTGATGAGTCAAAAGACATCTCTCACAAAGAACAAATGGCTCTTGTTTTGCGTGTTGTTAATAAGAATGGTGAAGTAGTTGAACGATTTATCGGTCTTGTCCATGTTAGTGATACATCGGCATGTTCATTGAAGAAAGCGATTTATTTTTTGCTTTCCGTTCACTCACTAAGTCCATCCAAAATACGTGGACAAGGTTATGATGGGGCAAGTAATATGAAAGGAGAGATAAATGGTCTCAAAACTTTGATTATGAAAGATAGTTCATCGGCATATTACATTCATTGTTTTGCTCATCAATTGCAACTAACACTAGTGGCAATTGCTAAAAAACATTTGGATGTTGAAGACTTTTTTGATCATGTTAGTAATGTGTTGAATGTTGTTGGAGGATCTTTCAAGCGTAGAGACTTACTTCGTGATCACCAAGCCAAAAAGTTAGAGCAATTATTTGAATCCGGTGAAGTTCAAAAAGGCCAAGGATTACATCAAGAACGTGGGCTTCAAAGACCAGGTGATACTCGTTGGGGATCACATTTCAAAACTTTAGATAACTTTATTGTTATTTTCTCATCTATTGTTCATGTTCTTGAAGTGATTGAACTTGAAGGGTCCACATCAAGTGATAGAAATCAAGCGGAGTATCTTTTGACAAAGATTAAAACACTTAAATTTATTTTTGTGCTTCACTTGATGTTGAAAGTGTTGGCAATGTCAAATGAGTTGAGTAAGATTTTACAAAAAAAAGATCAAGATATTGTTAATGCCGTGGAGTTTCTTAATATTACAAAGAAAAGATTGCAAGATATGAGGGAAAATGGATGGGAATCTTTGTTGGATGATGTTTCCTCATTTTGTGATGTGCATGATATCTTGATTCCCAAGTTGGATGAGTCTTATTTTCCCGGAAAGTCAAAACGTAAGTCTTTGGGTGTTAGTTATGCGCACCACTTGCGTGTTGAAGTCTTTTTTGCTGTCATTGATGTGCAACTTCAAGAACTTAATGACCGTTTTGATGTAGTGAGTAGTGATTTACTTCTTGGGATGGGTAGCTTGAATCCGGTCAATTCTTTCTCTAATTTTGACAAAGGTAAAATCACGACTTTAGCAAAGTGTTATCCAAGTGAGTTTGATGATGGAAAAATTCGAGATTTGAGCTATCAACTCGATACTTTCATTATTCATATGCGAAGTGGTAATCCCAAGTTCTCCAACTTGCAAGGAATTCGTGATTTGGCGAAGGCATTGGTTGAAGCAAATCTTGCGGAGACTTATTCACTTGTTTATTTACTTGTAAAGTTGACTTTGATTTTACCTGTTGCTACGGCAACTGTGGAGAGAGCATTTTCGTCAATGAAGCACATAAAAAATGAAGTGCGGAATAGTATTGATAATCAATATTTAAATGATTGTCTAGTGTGTTACATAGAGCGTGATGTGTTTATAAATGTTAGTAATGATGTCAGTATCGATCGTTTTCAGAATATGAAAACTCGTCGAGGACAATTGTAAATGAATGTTGAATATTTATAATATTAGTAAATAGTAATATTATTGAAAGTTTTAAATTTGTTAACTTCATACTTTTAGTGTGGAGTGTGGATTTGTAATATCTTATTATTTATATTTTATTGATTGCTTTATGATATATATCGAAAAGACAAATAATTTAATCAAATATAAAATTAATTTAATCGATAAGTTTATTTGGCACCCACGGACTCTAAATCCTGGATCCGCCACTGATTGCACGTGTATTCCTATCAAGTATTTCAAACTTTCTAAAATGACATGAATATTAGAACAACATACATGTGTAAGTGTTTCCAATTTGAAAGTGAAAATACAATTTTTCATGTGAAAATATATGTTACAACTAGGGTTGCGTATCAGTTGATTCGGTTTTAAAGTTTATCGGTATGTAGAGATGATAAACCGTTATAGAACCATTAAGATATTGACTTATCGGTTATTGGTTTATCGATTATTGATCGTTATCGGTTTAACCATTAAGATTTGACACAAAAAAACCCCATTGAAAATCACTTAAAACAAGGCGACAAACCAAATGAACCATGCACATGAATTCACAAGTTACATCTTTCTCAAACGCAAACACTTTTACATTGTAGAATAACCAAGAGTTTGAGACAACCAGAAATAAAAGTAGGAAACCAAACTCTAAGTCAAAGACTTTATATACAAAATGGTTTAAATATAATTATTTAATTTACTGTCGGGTTATCGGTTAACCCGTTAATAAAAAACCTAAAACCGTTAAGAACCGATAACCCAATACAAAAAAAATCAAAATCGTTATCAAAACCGCTAAACCAATAGCCCATTACGGATAAACCAATATATTTTTTTGGTTTGGGTTATCGGTTTCGGTTCGATTTTGAGCAGCCCTAGTTGCAACAATATAAAACAATTGCAAAAGACGCTATAACATTACTCTTGAACAATATACTTCAAGTAGAATATTGAATAATCTTGCTGATTTATATTACTAAAATCTAAACAAAATGAAGCTTAATTATTCAATTCTTATAATGTTACAACCAAAATGTTTAAAAGCAAAATTGTCATCACACCAACTATTCGAGTTTTAACACTGCAGAAAACTACCATCAATTAGATTGCTCATATTTAAGAAAATTATTAGGCTTAGTGTCGGACAAATATAAATGGAACTCTCATTTTTATTTGAAAATTAAGTTGTTAACCTCATTCATACAAATCGTAGAAAAACTAAAAATAAAACAAAAAGGGTAAAAATGAACAATATATGTATGTGTTCGCAACAATATATTGGATAGACGATAAAGTAACACAATTGAAATCTTTCATTCATAGTAATATTTTTTTAGCAATCTTTATTTAAATTAATTTGAATTTAGACAATTGACAATATGAATATCTGAGCATATTGCATACATTATTCAAGTATTATCAAACTCATCATACATTAATAGAGGTAAGTAATTTTTGTTTGAAATGATGTAACTAATTTATTTTTTGAAGATGTAAATACATTAAGTAAATTGAGGGAGAAAAATAAATACAATGCCATAACATTATTTCTAATTTATAATGTTTCATACATTGTTTTGTCTTCTACTTTAATTAAATTAATTAATCTAATCAATTATAATTATAATGCCATAACACAAGAATTAAAGTATATGTAACACTTCGCTATTTGAAAGAGCTAAAAATAGAAAGAATCAAATTTGGAAATAGCAAATTATATGCTAAGTATGAGTTTTGGGTCAACTTCAAACAACCATAACTTTTCGTACAAAATGATTTAGGTGGGCTACAAGGTATCAAAGGAAAGATCTTGCAATCCACTTTCCAACGCCACCAAGTTTGGTAAATTTCGAGCTCGTATGAAGGAGATATACCCGTTTGAAGTCGGGCTGTCCATTTAAGAAAAAGTTACCCGGATTTAAGAGGGGTGTTTTGGTCTTTTCCTTATCCTATCAGATTTATTTCATTTTTAGTAATTAATTAGGGGTCAAAACTAATTGGGTTCAGTTTACGCAATCTAAAATTAATGCCTAGGGTTTGAGAATAGTTCAAGAAGAGGAGAAAAAGAGAAAAGTCAAGGCGTTCTTGGAGATTTCTTGCGGAATCGAATGTCGTTTCGCTAAGGGTTGATACCTAAAGAGGTATGTGAGTTCACATAGCGTTGGGTTCGTTCATCCACGCGCCAATCATGTTAATTTCAGCGTAATTTCGTTCTAGAAAGTTGAAAGTTTGATGATCTTGATTTGTGTTCTTGAAATTGGCTTTCGTTCTTGAGTTAGGATGGGATTGCTGAGTTCTTGAGGAAATCGTGTCGATTTTAGAGTCGTTTATGAGTAGATTCTTGTGTACATATGTTGGGTATCTGAATCTAAAGAGAAATTGAGAAAAAGAATCGAATATAGACGAATTGGGGTTAGAAAACGAGGAAGAAAAAGCCGGACATAAAACGAGTACCAGGTCCGTGACGCGGACCTGTTCCTTCAGAGTGAAATTTCCTCTCCGCGTTGTAGAGAGATTGCGGACTCCACTGTATCAATTAAAATGCATCTCCGCGTCGCGGACTTGCTCCCAGACAGTGTTTTTTTGATCGTTTCTCATGATTTACTATCTAAAAACACTCTTAATCATCACGATATCCTTCCTATCACAAATCATAACCTTGAATTCATAAATTCAAATTCAAGAAAAATTAAGAGCCAAGTCTAGAGAGTTCTCAGAGTCTTTTACAAATGTTTTAAACTTGTTTTTAAGACTTGAGCTTTGAGTTGAATAAGAATATAAAGTGAAGTTCATTTTCTTCAAAAGATTATATGGGAACTAGGTATTCCCAAAGAGCAAATGTTTTCACATTTAAGTAAGAGAGGAAACAACGATTTCCAAGAGAGCTTTTGAGCTAGTTAGTTTTGAGTAATTATCTCAAACAACAGAAATAGTTATGTTTTTAAACATATGAGCTAGTTACATTTTGGGAGTAGTATTGAGCACCGATTTGGGGACAAGTTTGAGTTCAGATAATTCAAAGTTCCATAAACTGTGTAGCCAACATGGGTAGAAAAGGGTCATACTTTTTAGATGATTCCGTAATGCTTTTAGCATTGACTAGTGGATCCACTTAGTAGTTAGGTTTTATACCCCGACAAGGTATAAGACGGCCCTGGCAGCATGAGGCAAGACGTTGTATCATCACATAGCTCATAGTAATGGTTGTCGGTTAGAGAAACTCCCACAAAGATATTTTGTATTCTTATATACACAGAGTTACTTGTATTTTCATATACAAATTGAGTTATTGTGTGTTTTTCAATACACTGAGTTATTATCTACATGTTTTAAAGTTTTCTTTCTACTGCATCTTTATTACTGTTTTATATTAAAATAAGTAGAGTTGAGTTGAGACGAGGTAAGTTTCTTTAGTTCCATTTCAAGCTTATGCCTTGTTTAGTTTTCCCCTCGCATGCTCGTACATTCCATGTACTATCGCCATTTGGCCTGCATCTTTTATGATGCAGATATAGGTAACAAAGATCAACAATATCCAACGCTCCGTTGATCCAGTTGAGCATTTCAGAGTCATTTGGTGAGCCTCCTTGCTTTCCGGAGGATCCCTTTATTATTGCTTTATCATTTCAGTTGTTAGGATGATCGAGGGTGTTGTCCTGACATCCCTCTTAGTATTAGAAGCTTCATAGAAAGATAATTATTAGTTCATTAGTCTTGATATTTCAGTTGTTTTGATTATAAGACTTGAGTTTCCTTATTGACCAATTGAATGTTTTCTTTTATAACATTCTAGTTTATTTCATGACTTATCTTTGTTGAGTAAAGTCTTCCGCTGAGTAGTAAGTCAGGCCAAAGGTTTGCTTGGGGCCATCAATGGTTCTCGAGTGTCAATCCCGCCCAGGGTTTAAGCTCGGGGCGTGACAATATAGTTGTTGGGATTCATATATATCATTATATAATTAAAATATTAATATTTAACAAATTAAGTTACCATATTTTGATTTAGTGGAGGGGCAAAATGATAATTTTCAAAAAAAATTATTTTATTTTTATTTTTCTTCTTCAATTTACTTAAAATAATCTATATATAGAGAGAGAGAGAGAGAGAGAGAGAGAGAGAGAGAGAGAGAGATTATTTTAAGTAAATTGAAGGAGAAAAAAAAATACAATTTTTTTGAAAAAATATAACTAATTTATTTTTTAAAAGGATAAAAATGTCTAACAATTTTCTATGAATATTTTTTCTTTGAGATTTTTACTTAACACCTTTCCACTTTTAGAATTTAGTGTAATATAATAATAATATTATATAATTACTATTTAATATTTAATTAATTAGCTATTTCATAATATTTTTATTTAGTGTAGGGGTAAAATGATATTTCAACTTTTAACTTTTTTTTGTTCCCACTTATAATAATACTAGTATCTGGACACGTGCTTTGCACGTGTATTCCATGTTAATTTGTTCAAACTTTTTTATTGAGATGGAGGGAGTATATAATAGTTAAATATATTGATTTTAAAAAATGCAAGCTTATTCTTACTAAAATAAAGAAATTAAAACACATATCAATTCTCTCTTTACATATAAAGTAGAAACAACTGCTAAAAGTATAAGAAGAATATTTGAATGCTAAAATTAAAATATTACATGTCAGAATAATAATATATGTGTCTAAACTTTCATATACATTGATACATAAACATTGTGCATTACAAAAGAATTGTGTTGAACTTTGTTTAGTGAAGTTGATGTTAGTGGCTAATCGAACTCTAGACATCAATAGCTCTAGGTACTTTCCATCGTCTCAAATTGTTGCTTTCTCTTCAAGAACAAAAAAGAAGATGAAATTAATTAATAAATTAAAATTATGCAAGAGCCTATAAAAATGGTGAGTAAGAATTCAAGAATCCTTTCTTGTTTTTTTTATAGCAATATTTCAATTTGCATTCCTTGAACCTTTTCTTTCATTAGT